AGTTGGGAGGCTGACACCGCGGCACTGTAGCCGGGGCGCAGAGCGAGACATCCTGTCTCAAAATTATAATGAAATAGATAATATAATAATAGAAGCGTTCACGAAAGGAAACCAGCTGGCTGTTCTGGAAAGCCTGGTAGGTAGTTTGAGCTCGAAGGCCGGAAAAGGGTTCCCCACAGACATTCAGTTCTGCGGCACGCGCCATGCTCACTGTATGCGCCTGGAATGCCCCAGCGTCTTTGTTGTCTGGCTCTTGCTCAGGCTGGCCTCCAACTCCTGACCTCGAGCGAGCCTCCCTCCTCAGCCTCCCAGAGCGCTAGTAGTACAGGCACGCGCCACCACACCCGGCTCATTTTTTCTATATATATTTTTAGTTGGCCAATTAATTTCTTTCTATTTATAGTAGAGACGGGGACTTTCATTTTTTTTTCCTATATATTTTAAGTTGTCCAGCTCGTTTCTTTCCATGTTTTTTTTTTTTTAAGTAGAGACGGGGTCTCGCTCTTGCTCAGGCTGGCCTCCAACTCCTGACCTCGAGCGATCCTCCCTCCCCGGCCTCCCAGAGCGCTGGGACGACAGGCTCGAGCCTGGCCTCATGCAAAGCCCTGACCAGCTTCATTTTCTTTTTTTTTTGCCTTTTAAAAATATTTTTAATGTTTTTTGCTTTTTTAGGTAAAAAAAAAAATCTGCATATGGATGCCAGGAAATCTATTCATTTTCTTCCCTTTAGTGTGCGTGGAAGGGCATTGGGAACAGAAAAACCAAACAGGGGACACGGGGACCCCAGGGCCAGGGCGGCGGGCGGGCAGAGGCCGCCAAGCCGGCCGGTCCCCCCAGCCGGTCCCCATGCCATGCCACACACAGAGCCGGGACGCCAGGCCCGGGGACAGCAGGGACGGCCGAACGGACCCGGGCCTGGAGGGACAGGATTTTTTATTAATCCAGAGAAGCCAAGTTTATTTGTCACCAAAGTCTCTGAAGAAGAAGAAGAAGAAGAAAAAAATATTAAAAAAATATGTCGCACAGAAAACGTTGTCACAGTAAAAAGGCAGGAGGAGGGTCTCGGGACTTCGGGGCACGGACGCGCAGGCCTGCCCCGGGGACTCCCTGACGACTGTCACCCGGCCACCCGGTGACACTCCGAGTCTCACAGCGTGATGAGGGTCACGAGCTACGTTTCCAGGCGGGACTGCAGGGGCACAAACACATCGTAATCGCTCACAGCAGCCTCCAACTCCTGACCTCGAGCGATCCTCCCGCCTCAGCCTCCCTCCCGAGTAGCTGGGACGACAGGCGTGCGCCACCACGCCCGGCTCGTTTTTTCTATTATTTTAGTTGGCCGATTAATTTCTTTCCATTTGTTTAATAGAGTTGGGGTCTCGCTCTCGCTCAGGCTGGCCTCGAGTTCCTGGCCTCAAGCGAGCCTCCCGCCTCGGCCTCCCTCCCGAGTAGCTGGGACGACAGGCGTGCGCCTCCACGCCCGGCTCCTTTTTTTAATATGTTTTGAGTTGTCCAGCTCATTTCTTTCTGTTTTTTTTAGTAGAAAAATGAGGTCTCGCTCTTGTTCAGGCTGGCCTCAAAGTCCTGACCTCGAGCGATCCTCCCGCCTCGGCCTCCAGAGTAGCTGGGACTACAAGCATGCGCAGTCACTGTGCCTGGCTCATTTATTTTTTTGTATATATTTTTAGTTGTGCAGCTAATTTCTTTTTATTTTTTTTTTTTTTAGTAGAGACAGGGCCTCGTCTTGCTGAGGCTGGCCTCAACCGATCCTCCCTCCTCAGCCTCCCAGAATGCTAGGATTACAGGGATGCGCCACCATGCCCGACTCATTTATTCTATGTATTTTTAGTTGTCCAGCTGATTTCTATTTTTTTTTTTTTTTTAGTAGAGACAGGGCCTCGCTCTTGCTGGGCTGTAGCCCTGGCCTCAAATCAGGCCTCAACCGTCCTCCTCCTCAGCCTCCAAGAATGCTACGATTAGCAGACCCATACCGCCACCGAACATGCCAGGAGTCATTTTTTATCTATATACCCTCATTTCTAGTTGTCAGCTTCATTCTATTTTCTTTTTTAGTAGACACGTGGTCTCGCTCTTGCTGAGGCTGGCCTCAAACTCCTGGCCTCAACCGATCCTCCTGCCTTGGCCTCCCTCCCCAATAGCTGGGATGACAGGCATGCACCACCACGCCGGCTCCACATTTTTTC